AGGGGTGGGGCGTGGATGTCCTTTAGACGCTTGCCTCTCTCTCTCTCTCTCTCTCTCTCTCTCTCTCTCTCTCTCTGCTCTCTCTCTCTCTCTCTCTCTCTCTCTCTCTCTCTCTCTCTCTCTCTCTCTCTCTCTCTCTCTCTCTCTCTCTCTCTCTCTCTCTCTCTCTCTCTCTCTCTCTCTCTCTCTCTCTCTCTCTCTCTCTCTCTCGCTCTCTTTCTCGGACGGAACCAGCACATGTCATATGTCCCATATGACCCTGCAAAGACACGCCTCTGCCCAACTACACACCACCACGGAAAGACAACCAGGCAAATTGTTTGAACCTGCCCTGGAGAGAAAGGCGGGTTCTTATCAGAATGAGGGCCACCTGAGAACCGATAGTGAGCTCTTGAGCCCTCTTGTAACTGGCTTGAACTTGAGTTTCCCTTGGGTGTTCAAAGGGGACGTGTGAGCCCTGGTCTACTACTCCCGTCTTTGGTCTGGGGGCTCTTAGGGGGGGTGGAGGGAAGGGCTGATCTGGGGTCAACATCCTTGTGTCCAAGCACGGGGATGCAACATGTGAAAGTGCATAGCGTATCACCATACACACAGGTATGTATAACACAAATGTCAAATAAATACATATATATATATATATACATGTATGTATACATGTATACATGTAAATATGTACGTATGTGAAACAAAACAGGTGTAAAATGTATAAATGTATATATGCATACATGCATATGTAAATATATGCATACATATATATATATATACATATATATACACATATATATACATACATATATACACACACATATATATAGTCATAGGTATACGTATGTACATGTACTTAAAACCAACCACTTGCCATAGCTTGCCATTTGTGCATATATATATATATATACACATACACATACACATACACGTATATATCAAACCATACGAGTACACCCGCGTATTTCCTTATCATTGTCTATCGGTGTTCTTTCTGCATGTTCGGTGTCCAACAGTGTTGCGTGTGCTTGCAGAAAGCTCGACATATGTATGGCTTGTCTTTTTGGAGCTCCCCCAACAAGGGTTTTGGCAATCTCACATTTGCATATACTCAACGCCATTGGGTTTTCGTTCTGCCACGTAGGTGTCTTCAAAGTTCTATTGTTTAGTTGCCGCTAAAGGAAGTACAACCTTTGGGAGTCCGTGGCCAATCCCTCGGGTTAATGCCCAGCGGCCAAGCAAATCATAGAGCCTTTGAACTGTTGGACCATCAGCCCTCCCAGTGAGGTATATAGAGGGTAACAAGACACTGGATCGTGCAGACGGCTCCAAATACTTGAAGCTTTACAACCATGGTCACCTACTTAAGCTGGTTGAACATCCGAGTCTGGCCATTGTAGCAGCTGGTTCTACTTGATTGAAAAAGGGGTTATGGTACACCCTACATCTGTACAACTGTATGGGCATGTGGGGCAAACTTGGTGATGCTCCTTTTGGTTTCCCTTTAAACCAAGGCGGTACCCTCAAAACACAACGACCCGCACACACAGCATCTATTTTTCCAAAAGGCCACCTATGCACACATATATTTTACCTGACCGTGAGGCCGCCCATGGCTCACCTTTTTGAGCCGCAGGCACGGCGTGCAGCGACCAAGGCTTCACAGGCAACGAGCTGGCCGGCGCCTCATGGTCCGAGGTTTTTTGGTTTCTCGTCCGTTTTGGATTATGCCTTGTTGGGTGTACCTGAAAAGTGGGTGGAGCTTGAATTTTCGAAACAAATATGATGTCCAGTTTGGGCCCATTTATATATTGAGCCCAACCATGTGACGTCACTAGGAGCCATGAATGAAGGGCCAAAACAAACCACCTTCCCATGGCGCCCAGAAAGGCTCTGAATCGGATCAAACGCCGTGGTGAGTTGTGAGTTGCACTGAGAAGTTGTTGCAACTTCGGCCCTCACGTGAAAGCATTGAAGTGTCAACCCATGCATACCTACTAAGGGGTCCCTGCGTGGTTGAAGTCCCGTGATGAGTCATCTGATTGGGCATGGAACAAAGGAAAACGCAAAGACATCCCTCGAATTCACCGCGCTAATGTTTGCCTTGCTTGCAACAGCAGAATCCACTGTAGGCTTTCCTTTTCTTAAATCACCACGCATCGACCGAAGGTGAAAGACTGCGCTGCGGCGAAAGACGCAGGCCGGAGGGCTAGAAGTGCCAGGATTGTCGGATTCACTTACACTTGTTCATGTTTGCCTGCAAAACAAGCCTTTTGCTGAAGAAACTCCAGGGCAAATGGGGGGGAGCCACCTAGAGGGGCCCAGAGAGCAGCCACTTCCTCGTTTTGAGGCCAGAGCTAGCCTGACTGTTGTGCGATCTGGGTCTTGACGGTTTACCCCCTTGCCATACAAAGGAACTGGAGTGAAATAAAGGGCCCTGAGGTCCCTTTTTTGCTCCGGATCGCCTTGATAGCTCTTGTTGCAAGAAGGTCGCATTGGGTGCCCTCGTAGCCTTCTGGGGCTCGGGTATTTGGGGGGCGGGGTAGCTGTGTTTGAAGAGGCCGCATTGTGAGCCATTTGGGCTGGATGGTGGCCAGAAAGCTGGTGCCAGTCCAAATGATGCTTGAGCCATGATGAACCAGCTACCCCTAAACCAGCCCGATACAGCCCCCGAACCATCCCACACGGGCCATCATGAGCATCATTTGGGATGCTTGGGGGTTCAGGGGCTGCGTCATGAGCGTCATTGGGCTGCGTGGTGGGGAGGCTGTGGATGGCGAGCTGTTTCAGGGGCTGCAGCCCGAGTCAGTCCAAATGAACATGATGCTCATGATGCAGCCCATGAACCAGCTCACCAGCAACAGCCTACCCTACCCAGGCCAATGATGCTCATCATGCAGCCCCTGAACCAGCTACAGCTACCCCGAACCCAGCTTGAACCAGATTCGGGCTGGTGGGGGGCTGCATAAGCGTGATTTGGTTGGGGCCCAGCGGTTGCCGTCACTCGGCTGGTGCAACTGTTGCCAGGGAAGCCGTCGCAACAAAAAAACAGAAGCCAGATCCGGACGGAGCAACACCGGAGGCCTTTGCGACGACGACGCCGCAGCGAGGTACTGCCCCTTGGCTCTTGGCGCTCTTTGGTGCCGTTTGCCGTTCGGCCAGGCATGTAAGCTTGTGCCTCACTCAGGTGACACCGGACATGACTCAACTTGGACTATCCCGAGCCTGTTTGCAATCCTCCGTTTTGATGATGACGGCAAGAGCCCATGTGTCCCTCGTTACATCACCTGGTTGTCAGCACTTTGTCAAAAGCAGGAATCCGATCGGAAAGAACAGCATGGCAACAACCAGACTTTTGATGCTTCAGTCAAACATGCCTTTTTACTTGGAGCAAGGTATCTAAAGTTCACCGGCAAGATTTCTCGAGAAATCCAGCAGTAGTTGCTAGCAGGGCTGCCCGCTTAAGACTACAGAGTAAAAGGGAAACCCTGTGATTTTGCAGCGATTGACCGGGGCTGTGTGGCAGAATGTCGTTGGTTCATTTGCAACTTTTGGGGAATCAATTGTACTTTGCGGAAAGAGAAGGTGAAGGTTTTCAAAAGTGAAGGATTCATTTCTGGTATGCCCGTCTTTTCTCTGAACACCTCCCCTGCAGGCTGTGCTTGTGGAAAAAGGGGCGGAAGCTTTGTTGAAGTGAAAAGGTCGTATGATACTCATAGGGTTGAGCGTCCTACTTCAGTATCACAGTCAGACAGCAAGCAAGCCATGTTGACAGAAGCGCAAAACCAATCTCCAGTTGCAGCTGTACTACTTGATCACATGAACATTGCATGCTAAGCCCGACATGGATGAGGTCGATCTACTTGCAACCAGTGTGGAGACAATCCTGAGCAGTAAGGTAAGCAGGAGTAGATTCCTAGCAAGTACTGATAGCATCCAAGCGGATGCTTTTGCCAGACGTCAAGGCCGAATCGCATGGACAAAAAGTTGTTCGCACGGCTCGTTGTGTTTAGGAGGTGCTTGGCAGACGCGAGGTTTGGGCAAGCTACGGTGGGAGAATCTGAGCCGATCCAGTAATACTGCCTGTGGCCTTTTTTCCCTTTTGAGTTTTGAGGGAAGCCGATGGAAGCTGCAAAACCTCACAAATCCCCCACGCCCAGAGAGGTATCCAGGCTATGGCACATCCAGGACATGGGACGGGAAGTATTAGAAACACAAACACAGAGCCCTACTTTTCCCGGGTCCTCCGGAGCCCAAGGCGTATTTTGACTGCGAAACGTTACGGGGGTTCGATGTTTTAGGCTGGACATCTCGGTTCTTGGGATTTTCACCGCTAGCATTCAGAGCCACGGCAAGGGATGGGAAACACAAAAAGTCACGGGTCTTCCAATTTGGCAATGCTGGCAATTGGCTTAGGTTGCAATCTGGCTACTCTTTCTGAGGTCATCAGCTCGGTTTCCGGCCTTGCAAGCTGAAAGTCATGCAGAAGGCTAGATGACCTTCCATCCTGCCACCTGTATCAAGTACCAAAGGTATGTATTTAAGTGTCCCCCAAGTCTTGGGCACTGGCGTAGTTCTCTGCTCATGATTTTGCGCCGAAGTTCGCGCCGAGGATTTTGTCTTTGTGCCGGCCGAATTTTCGGGCTCCAACATGTAACATGTGTCGCCAAGTCTAAAACCACTCATATGTGGAGAAGAAAAAAAGCAAGGCAACAACCGCTGGGAACTATCAAAGTGAAGCACTCTAGGGTGATGGTACGCTCCATGAGGCCAGTGTCCGATTGTCAATTCTTCCAGCTTGTGGGCCCACGTGGCAACCAAGGATCTGCTTTGCAGTCTTGCGAGTCAACGAGCAGCCTTTGATGCATCAGGTTTCATCACATTCGACGACAGTCAGTCCGCACTTCTAAGATGTCCAACAAATCAAAGTTCGAAAGTTGAAAGACATGAGCAAGTGGAACAAAACAAGTTGAGGAACCTGAGAGTCAAACCAAAAGGAACACGGTCAGCCACCGGCTCACGTTTTTTGGGGCCAGAACCGGCGAAGCGCCGGAGAGGCGACCGCTTCGCGGTTTCTCGCCATGGCCCCACAGGGGAGCAGCCCCAAGCAGCCAGAATCCGTGCTACCGGATGAGGAGTGGCAGGCAACTCGAGGGGCGCGGGGGCGGGGTTCGGGGGGGGCGCAGGGGGCGCAGGGGTGCGGACGGTCTCCCGGCCAGCTCGGTCTCCAGCTATGCGTTTGCCTTGTCGTCTGCCTGTGGCAGGCTGGTGGCCAAAATAGAGCTAGCTCAGGAAGTTCATGCTAAAAATAAGCTTAGGCGATATCCCCAACAGCACCCCACCCTCCCAGAACCCTCGCAGAACCTCGTGGAACCCTGGTGGAACCTTACCTCAGGGCCAAGGACCACCCCGGAGCCTATCTGGGCTGAGACCCCAAAGCTTTCAGCTGTTGGGGAACAAACACTTGCCCCAACAGCTACAGTTGTAGGCTCTTAGCAAATCCTGGGTTCGGGCGCGGCCTTGGGCCTGGCATTGTAGTAGTATTTGCTTGCTTTTTTATTGCTTTATTTGTTTGTTTACGTGTCTTTATGTTTTTCCATGTTGTTGTTTGAATGTATTTGTTTGTCCGTTTAGTCATTTTCTTTCTGTATTTATTTTGATTATTGTATTTTGGGTATTATGTTCAAGCAAAGTATATATATATATGTATAGATTCCTTTGTCTATTCATTTAATTTGTTGTTTATTTGTTAAGTTATTTAGCTGTTGAATTATTTATTGTTTCATTTATCTTTTTGTTTGCTCATTGTTTAATTACTTTATTCATCTATTGTTTTATGTATTCATTGGATTGTGTATTTATGTGTTTGTTTCTTTGTTGATATATGTATTGTTTCATTGAGGTCGCGTGCGATGCGTGAACTGGCGCGGCAGACTTGCAGCCACTTGCAGCCACTCGAGTGGCCGCAAGCGGCCGCGAGTAAGTGGCCGCAAGTGGCCGCAAGTGGCCGCACGTGGCCGGTGCGCGAATTGCGTTCGGACACTTGCAGCCGCTCGAAACGAGTGGCCGCAAGTGGCCGCAAGTGGCCGCAAGTGGCCGCAAGTGGCCGCAAGTGGCCGCAAGTGGCCGCAAGTGGCCGCAAGTGGCCGCAAGTGGCCGCACGTGGCCAGGTGCGCGAATTGCGTTTGGACACTTGCAGCCACTTGCAGCCACTTGCAGCGACTTGCAGCCACTTGCAGCCACTCGAGTGACAGCAAGAGGCCGCGAGTAGCCTCAAGTGTCGCAAGTCGCTGCGGTGGCTGCAAGTGGCTTCTTTCGCTGTACGGGAGAGGCTGCTTATCCAGATTTGCTCGGTGAGGCAAGGAGGTGCTGCTGGCGATGCTCCTGATGCCTTTTTTTTTTTTTTTTCCGGGCCCTTGTTTCAGCACAAAAAGTGCTTGAGGTTCTTTGCTGAAGCTCGCGCCGTGCGAGTGGCTTCTTTCGCTGTGAGCTTTTGTCAGCACCAAAACTGTCTGAAAGCTCGTGCCGTGTGAGTGGCTCTTTTGCCTCCGCGATGCTGAGATGCTGAGGGTGTTGCTGGCGATGCTAATGACGGCGCGGGTGTTGCTGAGGGGGTTCTTTTGCCTGCCCACCACAAAACCAGGCAGGCTGTTTGCGTGCCGAAGCAATGACACGAAGAGCTGCTTACCAAACTGTATTGCTGCTGCTTCGACACTGTTGTGGCGTGCGATGCGGCCACTCGCAGCCACTCGCAGTCACTTGCAGCCATTCGACAGCAAGTGGCAGCAAGTGGCCGCAAGTGGCCGCAATTGGCCGCGAGTGGCCCACATCAACATCATGCACTTTTATACGCCCTCTGTATTGTTATATTTTGTTTTGTTTTCATTCATTATGTTATGTTATGTTATTTATTGGTTGATTAATTTATTTGCTTATTTATTTGCTTTTTGCTGTTGATTCAAAAACAAAGAAAGCAAGATTGTGAGCGGCAGAAACAACCCCATTTCAGCAACACATGCTTTTGAGCAGATCTGTCATTCCCCTTCAAATGTATGCAAGTAACGGAAAGGACACACACATAAAACAAAATGATGCTGGCCATATGTTCAATCTGTTGTGGATTCCCTATTTCTAGCGCAGTTTTGTTTGCGGCTTTTGGCAATGCCCATGCCAGTGATGTTTCAACAGTGGGTCAAGTCTTGGCTGCTATTTGGTGATTCCATGTACGACCCTTGATAGGGCTTTTAGACAACCTCTGCCAGGGCTTCTAGTAACTTGACCATGGCTTATATGATATAGTCGTTTAAAATGGGAGCGGAAGTGCTCAAAGGGATCTATGATCTGATTTTGCGTTGTTTATGTCTCGTTCAGTTGGTTTTAAAAGGATGTAGTTTGACAAACGCCAGCTTTTGATTTGAACGGTTTTCCGCCTGATAAAGGGACGTACTTTCCAATGAGTTGGCTTTCAATGGGAATGGGCGTAACTGGTACGTGACAGTCCCACCAGAAATATGGGAACCGCATGAAAAGTGGTTTCATGAATCACTGCCGCAGTCTGATGTCCACAGAAGCGGCCAAAGCATTCTCGATGAAATTTCACGCCCAAGGGTTCTCTAAGAAGAATTCACAGCAATGTGGGTGCTTGGTGGACCGGTGGGCTTCTTTAGGTTGGCATGGAAACCAAAGAAGCAACCGCAAGGTCCCCTATCAACAAAGAATGCGGCTCGCAGGAGAGCGCCTTCCGCTATGCCCCTCCGCAGTTTGAGGCGCCTCGCCCGCAAGGGTTGGAAGTGGAAACCGAAGAAAGTTCGGCGATTCGATTGCTTAGGGCATGAGTGGGTTGCATGGGTCTGTGCTTTTCACAGCTCGTTGCCCATTTTCGAGGTTGGTTCAAAATGACAACCAACACCATATCATTTTTTGGGCCACCTATTTTGACACACCCAATAAATGCGCTGTGGTCGCTTGCAACCATGTGTGTAAATTCGAAAGGAACTGATTTGTTGGAGTTCATTGAAGAGGCCACCCAAATTTGAACGAAAGCAAGGCGCTCCGCCTCCCATTTGGGTCTCACATCGCCTTTTGCTCGCGTTATTGAAGAAACCAAAAGAAGCATGAACAAACACAATCCGGAGGTTGGAACCATGGACTTGAAGCCATCGGAAAGGCCGAATCCCAAGCGCCAAAGGTCATTCGCCGTATTTTGGAGCCCAGCTTTCCCAGGGGTTCTCACCCTCGAGCCACTACCCCTGAAGGGGAAGATAGGGTATACAACCACTCCGCAACCACTACAAGGAGGGCCCTCTTTTGGAAGTCCAAGTAACTTGCGCGTGCTTCCAACGAGCGCACGTCCTGCTTCTGCGCCGTTTGTTTTGAGGTCCTTTTTTCAGATAGGTGTTCCCACTCTCCCGGCCTATGAAGAAACCTGGCTGGACACGGGCGGAGGTGAAAGTCCTCGCCAGCTGAGGACTTGCTGCGGCGCCACGAGGCGAACTTGGCCCACGCCATGGAGGTGTCCGGATTGGTTTGGGTGGAATCCAGTGGGTTCCACGGGGTGAGATGTGGGCCATGGATTATTTTTTTTGGGCAGAAGGTCGCCCAGCACACACACACACACACCCACACACCCCCAACCCCCACACCCCCACACCCAAACCCAAACCCCCCAACCCAAAACCGCGCTCGCGCCAGGATTGGTTCCAACGTTTGGTGCAGCCCTGAGCAAGCGGAAAAAAGTCGAATCTGCCCCCCGAAGTCTCCCACGCAGAATGTCCTCAACTGAGGGCTTGTTTGGGTCCCACGTTCCTCAAAGTTAAGGGGAGTATGAGTTAAGTATTTGCTTGGATCTGCCCTGACGTGCCGTGCAGCAAGCCGGATGCTTGTTTTTTTGACAGGGCTTCAAACTTCTGCCGTCTCTTCCAAGCAGTTCCTGGACAAGTCCCCGACTTTTTGACGCATGCCCTCTTTGTGTAAAAACGGAGGTAGCCCTCTAAATGATTGCAGTTGGAGTAATTTGTTGGTCTGAAAAAGGAGTGAACAAGGTTTTGGACATGAACCTAGGGATGCCAGGTCCAACTCATTCTGTGCCGAGAACCAGCAATTGTTCGGATTAGTTTTCCCACAGGCGAACAGGCAATCTCCGGCTGCGCGTGGTCAAGGAAAGCAGCCAGCCGAACACCATGCCAGTGTATGTCTTCAGGGTAAGACCCGGAATGCATGCTGCACGTAGCACGTGGCTGGAATGAAGCAACCAATAGGATACACACAAGTAATTGCACATGTACTTGAGTAGACAGGCTGCAGTGTTATGATATTCTTTGTTGCACATTAAGCAGCGGTGTGCAGACTTGCAGTCCATCCTGTGCTCTATGCTCAGTGAGAGACGAAGCATCTCTTCTAGTGTTGGACAGGGAGCAATTCCATTGCACAATTCCAAGAAGCATTCCAACCAACATGAAGACATGCTAGAAACCCCGCAAATTACAGAACTGGACCGTCACAATGACGATTGGGTACTTTGCACAAAAAGAGCTAGAAGGCAGATGGCCCGAAAGCATAATTTACCAAGCTGTAGGCAAGAGTATGCCCGCACGGTGAAAGAGCCGCGCGGTCTCGTCCGTCTTTCTGTGTAATTTCGTTGTGCAAGTTGTCTGAGCAAATTCCTCCGCGCAAGTTTGCTGAGAAAGTTTTCTGAGCAAGTTTTGAGCAAACACGACAATTTGGGTTGCTCAAAGTTATAAGCATGCTTCCTGGATCCAAGATTCACAATTGCCAAGGCATGCGTTTCCCTGAATCTTGATTCCAGCAAAAGGCCGCAGAATTTGAGTGTATGGTTTGGGACAGAAACCAATTCCACTTTTGGACATTTGGGTATCCCTTGCACAAAAAGGAAGCATGCTTTCTGGATTCAACAATTGCCCAGGATTCCAGGAAAGGTTCTCCAGAATCCTGACTGCAGAAAACGAGAAACATATTCAAGATTTAAGCATGCCCATGCAAAGTGTTTGTAAAGCATATTTGATCCTCAACTTGCCCCTGAGACTTTAAATGCACAATCGTACAGTATCTACTTTTATATCCAAGACTTCAGATTTCTGGGGGGCAACTTTGGGCAATCTTGGAATCAAGGCCCCCCCAACGGAATTCCGGCGCCCTCCCCGGGCGCCAAGTCCTTGCGCGAAATCCTGGGCCAAGTCGCCAAACGAAAGCGACATGGGGCCATCTTTGTGTGTTTGTATGTAGATATGTAATATGACTGTGCATTACATGTTCCGTGCAGAAGTATGCAGGCGTGTGTACATATATATGTACACGCAAACGTATATATATATATATACATACATACGTACAGACACCCAAAGGGGCCTAGCTCCGATGCCTCGTTACCCGGCCTTCGATTCGAGGCGGGGATCATTGAACCTCTTCAGCCCGCGAAAACAGCTGGGAGCTCGGGATCAAAACGAAACTTAGTATCC